AAGGTCAGAGAATTCACATTTTTACCCATAAATCATATATAATTCATATTCGAGCGTTCTTTTTCACTTCATATATTCGTTAGAATAATGATACGACAACAAAGTTGGAAGAGCCAGTTTATCCCTATGTTATCTCTTGTTTTGATAATTTGTGTTTATGTATTATATTATTTTGTTATTTCATTTCATTTCTAACCACAATTCAACTATTTTTACCCAAAATCAAACACATTAACTTGAAACAAGACCAAATAACCAATGTTTTCTCTTTTTTTAAAAGAATAAATGGTATTTCCATATGTACATAAATCACACAAATGAGCCATTTTAGGGCTGACATGCAAAAACAAAAGGTCACGTGACTCCGCAATTATACGTCCGATTTTCAACAAAAAAATGTTTCAAAAGATGCGTAAGATTCGAAAGAAAAAAGTCATGAAAGAAAAACTTTATATCTGCCGCGGTTCCGGAGTAGTCGCGAAATTACTAGAGAGCACTAATCTTTTTTGGGGCTCTCAAAAATTTGAAAAATCGTACCCCCCCCCCCCCTTGAACGCCAGGGGGGGGGGTATCTCCCCAAAACGGTAAAAATTAACGTGTTTTTTTTTTACACGTTTTTTTCACAGGGCGGAGCCCTCAGAAGCTCAGGGATATTAATCATCAAAATTAACGTCGGATGAGCATAATTTTATACCTTATTTGTGACAGTGGCAGGACACAATTTGGTGTTGGGTCCAGGGGGCGGAGCCCCCAGAAGCTCAGGAGTTTTGTCCATTAAATTATTATTATTTTATACCTTATTTGTGACACAGGGGTTACGAATTGGCGTGGGGTCCAGGGGGTGGAGCACCCGGAAGCTCAGTGGTTTTGGGCAATAAATAACGGTCAGATCAGCATATTTTTATATCTATTTGTGACACTGGCAGGACACAAATTGGTGTTGGATCCAAGGGGCGGAGCCCCAAGAAGGTGAGAGGTTTTATACATCAAATTATCGTCAGATGAGCATATTTATATATCTATTTGTGACACTGGCAGAACACAAATTCTTCTTCCTCTTCCTCTTCTTTCTTTCCTTTTATCTTCTCTTTCCCTCTCCTTCTCCAACATAAGATGCAAGACGGATATATATCGACTCACCTTCTTTCCAAGAACCGTACGGGCCTGGAATTTACTTTCCCCCCCCCCCCCAGCATCTTTGCCTGCAACGCAGTCGAAACCTTCAAAGCCAGACTCTGGGAAGCCATCCAAGGGGGTAATAATCATAGTCCCTCCCCACAACTGCAATGTGATGGGACTTAATTCTAAAATGTTCTAGAAGCAACAAACACTCTCTCTCGAACGATAACGTTCTTATTGGTCTTCTTTATATCCCTCTTGAGGATCAGGACCAGGATCAGAACAGATTCTCTCTCTCTCTCTTATTTATTTTTTGGCGGGGGGGGGGGGGGGGAGGGAGGAGGCAAGAGCCCTTCGCCCCTGTTTCCCTCTTTTCTTATTCTTTTTCCTCTTCTTTCTTTTCTTTTATATTTTCTTTCCTTTTCCCTTCACTCTCTCTCTCTCTTATTTATTTTGTTGGCGGGGGGGGGGGGGGAAGGGGGGCAAGAGCCCTTCGCCCTTCCCCCGTTTCCCTCTTTCCTTCTTATTCCTCTTCTTTCTTTCCTTTTATATTTTTTTCCCTCTCCCTTCTCTCTCTCTTATTTACTTTTGGCGGGGGGAGGCAATAGCCCTTCGCCCCCGTTTTCCTCTTTTCTTCTTATTCTTCTTCCTCTTCTTTCTTTCCCTTCTCTCTCTCTCTCTCTCTCTTATTTACTTTTGGCGGGGAGGCAAGAGCCCTTCGCCCCCGTTTAACTCTTTTCTTCTTCTTCTTCCTCTTCTTTCTTTCCTTTTATCTTCTCTTTCCCTTTCCCTTCTCTCTCTCTCTTATTTATTTTGTTGGCAAGAGCCCTTCGCCCCCTTTCCCTCTTTTCTTATTCTTTTTCCTCTTCTTTCTTTCCTTTTAGATTTTCTTTCCCTCTCCCTTCTCTCTCTCTCTCTCTTATTAATTTTTTTGGCGGGAAGAGGGGGGGGGGAGGTAAGAACCTTTCGCCCTTCCCCCGTATCCATCTTTCCTTCTTCTTCTTCTTTCTTTCCTTTTATATTTTCTTTTCCTTTCCCTTCTCTCTCTCTCTCTCTCTCTCTCTCTCTCTCTCTCTCCTATTTATTTGTTGGCGGGGGGGGGGGGGAGGAGGCAAGAGCCCTTCGCCCCCGTTTCCCTCTTTTCTTCTTATTCTTCTTTCTTTCCTTTTATATTCTCTTTCCCTTTCCCTTTTCCTTTTCTCTCTCTCTCTCTCTCTCTCATTTATTTTTTTTTGGGGGGGGGGGGGGGGGGGAGGGCAAGAGCCCTTCGCCCCCGTGTCCCTCTTTTGTACTTTTCCTCTTCTTTCTTTCCTTTTATCTTCATTTTCCCTTTCCCTTCTCTCTCTCTCTCTTATTTATTTTTTTGGCGGGGGGGGGGGGAGGGAGGAGGCAAGAGCCTTTTGCCCTTCCCCCATTTCCCTCTTCCTTCTTCTTCTTCTTTCTTTCCTTTTATATTTTCTTTCCCTTTCCCTTTCCCTTCTCTCTATCTCTATCTCTCTCTCCTATTTATTTGTTGGCGGGGGGGGGGGGGGAGGAAAGCCCTTTGCCCACGTTTCCCTCTTTTCTTCTTCTTCCTCTTCTTTCTTTCCTTTTATCTTCTCTTTCCCTTTCCCTTTCCCTTCTCTCTCTCTCCTATTTATTTGTTGGCGGGGGGGGGGGAGGAGGCAAAAGCCCTTTGCCCACGTTTCCCTCTTTTCTTCTTCTTCCTCTTCTTTCTTTCCTTTTATCTTCTCTTTCCCTTTCCCTTTCCCTTCTCTCTCTCTCTGATTTATTTTTTGGCAAGAGTCCTTCGCCCCCCCCCCCGTTTCCCTCTTCTCTTCTTATTCTTCTTTCTTTCCTTTTATCTTCCCTTTCCCTCCTTCTCTCTGTCTCCCCCATCAACATAGTAATAACGAAAGAGACCACTCTGTATTCAAGACCATTCCATTTTATTTAATACATTTTCGATATACTTAAGTTGGCAACTATTACCTTCTGTCCGAGATCCTCATTTTAAACGACTGATGCGAAAGACTAGTCGACGCACCCTTTCGAGAAAAGCCCCCCCGCTTTCATCGAAAGGGTGTGTTAAAACGGAACTCCGCTCTCAACGCACCCTTTCGAGAAAAGGCCCCCCTCTTTTATCGAATGGGTGCGTTGAGCACACCACACCGCGCCGCGCCGCACCGCACCCTTTCGATGAAAGCCGACACATATAGGCCCATAAAGTGGCTGGGGAGTGGCCTTGTGGTATTTGGCCAGAGGCTTAACCTCATGACCCCATGTACAAGCATGGACCTACTATGTCCAGTCCATGCTAAACTCTCTATCAAGTCCCTGCATGTACACTGTACAATGTACATGTACATACCAAGAACAAAAATTGAAGCTGGAATGGAAAATGAGCTCAGAACTTTACTTTAAGTATGGCTCTTTTTTATAGACCTATCTAGAAGGCCAAGTGCACCATAACATCAAGCTGATTTGAATAAGTAGAGAATAATCAAACAAGCATAACACTGAAAATGTCATCAAAATAAGATTTGAAGAAAGAAAGTTACAGCATTTTTAAGTTTTACATTTTTTTCATAAAACAGTGTTACAAATAACGTGGTTGGTATGCAAATGAGGGAGCTGATAATGTCACACTATCACTGTTCTTTATGTACATGTATTTTATATATGAAATTTCAGGTATTTCAATTTTTTCATCAATTTAATAATAGAGAAGTTCTCAATTGAATCACAGTATACAATAATGTTGATTTTTCATTACATGAGAAGAAAAACTACTGGTATGTTTTACATTATTGGAGCAAAAAGATGAAATACCGGTATTTTAAGTTTATAAAACAAATTTCATAAAAGATAGTGTGTGACATCATAGGCTTACTCATTTGCATACAGACCACGTTATGCATTTACTGGTAAATTATAATCACTGTTTTGTGAAACTACAATACATATTTTAAAATTTTAAAATGCCTCATAACTTTCTTATTTTACATTATATTGTGATGAAATTGTTAGTGTTATGCTTGTTTGATTTTACTTCAAATCAACTTGATGTCACTTCAAATCAACTTATGTCCAGTTGGACTTGGTCTTTAAGCTCCTTACATACTGTATGTGTAGGTCATTTATATCATTTGTATGACAACCACTCTTTCCCCTTTCGTACATTAGTGTATAGTTACATTTAGTTACATGTAAGCCTGCACTGTATCTCTTTGGTAGTGCAAGCAATGATGTTCATCTAAACATTGGCTGGGGAGTGGCCTTGTGAAAGGCACTGGTATTTGGCCAGAGGCTTAACCTCATGACCCCATGTACAAGCTACTTGGTGCTCCATACTCCTTTCACATTTGTTTTGCTTAAAGGTAAAGACCAGTATTGGAAACGCCCCAATTTCAATAAATGAAATGGTAGCTCTTATTACCAATCATGTGAAAGAATATGTTTTGACTAATACATGTACATGATGATAAAATTTATGCCGGGAAACCGCTTATTAATTGATATATTTGGTAAATTAGTTTATCTATTGGGATGTGAGAGATAAACGCACATGTCCCGCATGTGTGCCTAGTCCCATATACATCTTTCTGTGTACAGTGCTTGTAACTTTACCAAAACTGGACCAAATATAAAAAAGTTATGAATTGTTGAAAGTTGTAATCACTATACGTATGGGAACTTCAAATTGGCTGAAGAGGTAATGTCAATGTGATGTAGTGCGGGACTAATTTCCCATCTGTTCCAACATATGAAATAAACTACATGTACAGGTCTACATGTATAATGAATGTTTAATGTTTAAAAGGTGTTCAATTGGACAAAAAAAAAATTGTGATTACTCTTTTTTTTTCCATCTTTTTTCCATCTTTGTTTTCATTTTTCAGAGACATGGGCAGAAGTCTACAAATAAGCACTTCCAGACTTGGACTTGGACTTGGAGTGAATCAGTACTTTGGATATATGCTACCTCTGTGTTTTTTTTTTATCCCACAGAAAGTTTGACATGGAATTGAGGGGGGGGGGGGGTGCAATATAGTTTTAATCCACACTTTTGTGAAAAATGAGTTACATCCATTTCCATCAGCTTTCTAGATTGTTCTTCATCTTCTGACAATTAAAAAAAAAGGAAATCAACTGATTAATAGGGAAATGAATAAATATTCTTCTCCTGAAAACAAGCAATTATCTGAACACAAAAAAAAAAGTAACTCCCCCTTAATCAAAATGGCGTAGCTTTTAAAGAAAAGGTTTTGAGCAAAATAAATTGGCAGGACTGTTCCTATATTTATTGACTAACTTTTCTCCCGAAATAAAATTGCTCCATTGAGTAATGCATGAGTGGACAAACAGGCAAAATTTTCACTTTTCAAAAGTCACAGTGGTTATGTTTTATGCTGTTTTGACAGTACATTTTAGCTTTTCTTACACTATTTTTAAAGTTTGCTCACCCAAGCATGACACGATTACAACCTCTTGAGTTCACACAACTTGTGATGAAACATTTTAGTTAAAAAAATTATTAATTTTGCTCACCCAACAATAATATTGAAAAAAGTGTTGGGATAGGTGTAAGGTGGTCAAGCAATGTATGATAAACAACAACAACACAAAAACATGCACCAGAAACTAAATTCGCTAAAATCTTGTTTCACAGAATCCCCTAAATGACCCTTACAAGTATGACTTTAGAAAAGTGAGAGTGACAATTTTCCCTTTAATGTTTGCTCACTCATGCATGACTTGGTAAATCAATCATATCTTCACAGAAAAGTTAGTCAATAAATATAGGAACACTCCTGCCAAGATTATTTTATTAAATACCTTGTCGTTAAAAAGTTACGCAATTTGGATTGAGGGGGAGTTACTTTTTGTGTTGTGTTCAGCATGAAAAATGTGCTAACCCATGCATTCCATTCTGGAGGCGCCCATGACAGATATTGTTTGGTAAAGAAAAGTGCATAATTTGTCAACAAAATGAATTTTATTCTGCAAAGAACACAAGGGATCTGACTTTCAAGATACATGTATGTAAATTTATTATTTTTGTCTAAAAGGGAGTAGATGCACAAATATGAATTTAAATTATAATTTTTGGTCATTGGAGGATAGCACTGTATTCATTTAAATTTTTTGGAGGTGTTTATTTTTTCAAATGATTTCCAGTTTAAATTAAACATAAAGGTATTTAGTGGTAGACAGAGATTAATCAGGTTTCCATGTATAATATGCTACATTTACCCTCCATAAGTCAGATCTGATTTCACCCAAGTTTTATTTATTATTACACTTATGGCAATGCAATGATTAAGTACCGGTACCAAAGTGAAGAGTAAACATCAGCCTTGGAGTTGGCACTAGTAGGCGCATTTATACTGTCAAATACCTCATTTTGAAAAGTCGCGATGTTTCGCGCACCCTTTTACACTTGTGCAGAAACATCACCTACTGAAAAGCTCAGTGATGTCTTGGCGTGTTTCAGTTGGTAATGCGCATGCGCAGCACTCCGATGCAAACACTTTCCTCTTTCTATCTTCCCTTGTTATTCTTTGTTTTTCCTTCTATCGCCTTCTCTTATGTTATTCTTTATCACTTCCTTCTATCACTTTCTCTTTCTGTGTTTCCTTATGTTATTCTTTATGTATTCCTTTTATTACCTTCTCTTATGTTATTCTTTGTTTTTTTGATCATTCTATCACTTTCTCTTTCTGTCTTTCCTTATGTTATTCTTTGTTTCTTCCTTCTATCACTTTCTCTTTCTGTCTTTCCTTATGTTATTCTTTGTTTCTTCATTTTTGTATCACCTTCTCTTATGTTATTCTTTGTTTCTTCCTTCTATCACCTTCTTTTATGTTATTCTTTGTTTTTTATCATTCTACCACTCCCTCTCTCTGTGTTTCCTTATGTTATTCTTAATTTATTCCTTTTATCACCTTCTCTCATGTTATTCTTTGTTTTTAATCATTCTATCACTTTCTCCTTCTGTCTTTCCTCATGTTATTCTTTGTTTCTTCCTTCTATCACTTTCTCTTTCTGTCTTTCCTTATGTTATTCTTTGTTTCTTCCTTTGGTATCACCTTGTCTTATGTTATTCTTTGTTTTTTATCATTCTGTCACTCCCTCTTTCTGTGTTTCCTTATGTTATTCTTTGTTTCTTCCTTCTATCACCTTCTCTTATGTTATTCTTTGTTTTTTATCATTCTATCACTCCCTCTTTCTGTGTTTCCTTATGTTATTCTTTGTTTCTTCCTTCTATCACCTTCTCTTATTTTATTTTTTGTTTTTTATCATTCTATCACTTCCTCTTTCTGTGTTTCCTTACGTTATTCTTTGTTTCTTCCTTCTATCGCCTTCTCTTATGTTATTCTTTGTTTTTTATCATTCTGTCACTCCCTCTTTCTGTGTTTCCTTATGTTATTCTTTGTTTTTATCATTCTATCACTTTCTCTTTCTGTCTTTTCTTATGTTATTCCTTATGTTATTATTTGTTTCTTCCTTCTATCACCTTCTCTTATGTTATTCTTTGTATATATCATTCTATCATTTTCTTTAAGGACGACATCTAGCTCCGCTCCTAAAGTTATGTCACCTAACATCGAGATGTTACAACTGCGAGCGTTTATACTTGCCAAACACGCCAAAACACGCCAAAAGATCACACTTCGATTTGGAATGTTTTGGAATTGGCATTTCTGCCGGTAATGCGTAGTTGCCCTTAGTAACATCACGGTCAGGCTCCGGTTTGGCATTTTTTGGCGTGTTTGGATGACAGTGTAAATGCCCCTAGTGTAACCATTATAAACTGTTTCAGGAAGCACTCGTGCATTAACAAAGGCAATCGCATATTTTTTATGGAGAGGGGGGGGGGGGGGGGGGGGGATTGACCACCCCCCCCCCCCCCCCCCCCCCCCCCCCCCACAGTAAGGATAGGGTTTAAGTTGGTCTTGCATGCAGCTTCCTGAAACGGTTACACTGGTGCTAACTTCAAGGCTGATGTTTACTCTTCACTTTGGTACTTAATTAGTGCAGTACCACAAGTGCGATGATAAATAAAATGTTGGTGAGTGTGAAAAACCAGTTCTTATTACTTTTAGAGGGCAGTGTATTTCACTCAGAGTAAATTTTAATTTTTAGTTACTACTTTACATTGCAGAACACTTTTTACACTGTTTCTTATTGGTTAGCACTATATTGCTCTGAAAAAAGCATTGATTTTTTGTTTTGTTTTGTTTTGTTTGGGGGGGGGGGGGGTTATTGTTTAAAACTTGATGTCATTTTCCAAAACTTCCAAAAAATATTATCAAAAGACACACTTGGGGGTTAACACTTTATTGCACCTACGCCCTTGGCTAGAATAGTATTTTTAATTAGCTCAACTTGAACCATTCTTAGTAAGATTAGAAATGTACTTATTAATTACTGTTTTGTAGTTATTAACCACTTGACTGCTACCCATATGTGTTCTCGCTCTTGTATGCCTGTGCTTACCACGTACATGTACGTGCTTAGGGCAGTGCACTTTCAAGACCATAGCACTGCATAATGCCAAGCCCTGCTGTGTAATTAACACTGCTATGATGTTATACAGGTCTTGAACAGTAGATGGCGCTCTTCCAAAAAAATATGGTTTTGATGTGTACAGTGTACAGTTTTTGTCAGGTTTTGTACAGTACAAAAATGCTGTAGCACAGGGGGTATGAACGCGTTTTAAGCCAATAGCAGTCAAGTGGATAAGCTGTGGAAAAAATAGACAAAACATTTGATACTTTCATAATTTGCAATATGTTCATTAAATGCAACATATTATTTTTATTATTATTGTTATTATTATTAGCCATCAAGTGTTATGATAATAATAATAATAACACATGTAATAGTAAAAATTATATTGCAGAATGCATTGTGATAATTTGTCATTTATTTTTAAAGTTATAATCCATTATATGCCATTGTAACATCTACTATTATCAAAGCCATAGTTACAAGAATTAGTTGTTGGTATTCAACTAACAACCCTAAAAAAGCTGAGTCTTACACTGTTGCTCATAACGGTGGAATATTTTTTTTTATCCCAATTTATGGAATTATTTTAAAAATAATTTAAAAATACTAGATCTAGATAATAGTATACAGTCTCAGATTTTATTGAATAATAATTTGCCAATATGTGTTTGCGTGACTGCTAAAGCATGTATATTATGCTACTATGTTTATTAACTAGGGGACCTATGCCCTTAAGTCATAAATGACAGTAATGAGAATTAATGCCTCACAAAAGGGCACTAATATAGCACATCGACACGGTGTTGATCCTGGGGCCTCACAGTTACGAGGCCATTGCTTTGTCACCGAACCATGACTGTACGCAGCGGGGGCTATGGTAGGGGGCAGTTTCCATAAATTTAAAAAAAAACAGAAAATGCAATAAATTTATTAATAATTTACTGCATTCTACCCCGGTCCCCAACATAAAAAAATCTTTTGTGTGCCCATGCCTTGAGCCATAATGCATGGCCGTCCAGAGGATTTTTTTATGTTGGGGACCGGGGTAGAATGCAATAAATTATTGAAAATTTATTGCATTTTCTGTTTTTTTTTAAATTTATGGGAACTGCCCCCTACCATAGCCCCCGCTGCGTACAGTCATGGTTCAGTGACAAAGCAATGGCCTCGTAACTGTGAGGCCCCAGGATCAACACTGTGTCGATGTGCTATATCAGAGCCCTTTTGTGAGGCATTAATCCTCATTACTGTCCTTTATGACTTAAGGGCATAGGTCCCCTAGTTGATAAACATAGTAGCATAATATACATGCTTTAGCAGTCACGCAAAACACATATTGGCAAATTATTATTCAATAAAATCTGAGACTGTATACTATTATCTAGATCTAGTATTTTTAAATTATTTTTAAAATAATTCCATAAATTGGGATAAAAAAAAATATTCCGCCATTATGAGCAACAGTGTATGAATCCATCTCACAGCTAAGGGGGGGGGGTGGATCTCCACCATAAGACCTCGATGGTTAACCACGCGTTCGCCACAAAAGTCTGCATGCACGTCACCCACAAATTAATGTTCAAAACTGTTTACCGGTGGTCAATTTCATTAATTCAATAATCAATTGATTATGCTGATTTATGCGAGTTCTGAACTTTGCTCTAATCAAACTAAGCTTCAAAACTGCCAATTTTGTGTATAGACACTCTCTGTAAGACTCTGATCAAATGCTCTTTAAAAATTTGGTATCAAAAGTTTTTCTTATGTGTTTTATTATTATTTTTTTTTATTTCTTACTATTTGCTTTGTTTTACAATTTTTTTTTAAAATTTTTTTTTAGATGGAATTTGTCGATGACACATTTACGATCATAAACAGCATGGAATCGATTGGTTTTAATCAGTAAAGGCAAGAATAATATACATTTATGAATTTTGGCTGAAAAAAATTTTGTATTGGAATTGTACATGAAGCCATGTTTTTGAGCAATGTTTGGTCTGAGGT